AGCCAAAATAAAATCGGCGGTAGCCGTTCCTTGGGAACTGCCAGTGGACGAATGTACTTCGCTATTCGCTGTTTAACGCAGGCAGGACCAAGCTATGTGGAATTGCCCGCTCTTTTATCTCTACGAAGACTATGGGTGTCATAGCCCTCTGATGTGTATCCCGGTATTTTAAAAACGATTCAGCTCCACCGAGCTGAAAAGTGTTTTGCTTGGCTATTACACGCGTTAACCATTCACCTTCTGCGTTTTTCTTCTCTCTTCGTCAGTCATAACTGATTCAGTTTGGATCACACGCTGCTCTAGGAAAAAAAAATAAAGTTTCGTCTAGGAAAAATTGCCAAGGCAACACGCGATTCATCGTGCTGTCTTCAACAACCTTTATCCGCCCTGACGTGATTCGCCCGGTTTGCCCGCCACAGGACGGGTTATGTTTCCCACTTTCATCGGAATCCTAGGTGAACTTTTTATTGTTTATTAGTTATGAAGATGAAACTATTATTATGAAATATCTTATGGGTTCTTTTGTTTCTCTAATTATTATATAGTAATTATTATGTACTACTAGGAAGATCGATGCTTACGATTGAGAGCCCTTGTCAATGACCTCAAGTTTAGCAACAGAGAATCATTTTCATTGTTTTTTTTTTACTATTTTTCCTTATTGTATTACGTTCTATACAGAGTATTCGTACACGGCGTTTATATTCGTATTTTTGTCCATTAGTATTGTTATGTCAAGTTATTGGTTTTGATCTTATTATATTTTGGGACATGTTTTTTAGAGAATTTTTTGTGCTCATTTGAAATGCAGTTTTTCTTATTATAAATATTTGGTTTTGTTAGTTAATATAGTAGTTTTGTTATGTAGTGAATTATCAAAGATTGTATTTTCAAGTTAAAGGAAGCATAGAAATTAATAATTATTATTAACAAGAGAAAATAATGTTATTTGAAATTATATATCTCTTTTATATATTTGTTAAGAATTATTTAGAATATATTCTTACCACTTTAAGAAATGAGTCCAATGTTACTTTTTTATTTAGAAATTTATTATCACTAAAAAATCACAAATATAAATTTTTAAAAGATATTTATATCATTTTAAAATAACAGTATAAATGATATAAAATAAAAATTAATATTTAGCAAGAATGCATAATTTATAACAAAATACAGAGATGAAAATATAAATATATATTTTTTACTATTTTAAAATAAATATGTACGTGTATAATTCTACAACCAATATATACATATACAAGTAAATATTACTTTTGATATTAAAATAGAAGTTGTTTCTTTATATAGTATTGTATTTACACAATTATACATATTTAATTTCATCAATGAAGTTTTTGAGTCAATAACTTCTGAAATATTCTAAGCACATACAAAAGAAGATATTCCAGAGATTAAAGAAATAAAATATGAAGGAACTCTCAATTGTTCCTTTATTTTTTTAGACATTCAATCGTGGTGGGAGGTGCCAAGTATAGCACACTTCTGCTCATTATTTAGGGCTGCCTTCAATCTCCTGGACTTTGATATTGAGGTATCTACCTATATGCTGATTTGTACGAGTAGGCATTGTTCATGAGATTTGCTAGTACTGCTTCAGCTTATAGAAAGTTAAATAGACCATATTTCAGCTTTATGTTCTTAAAAGCTTATGCATTCTTTTGTCATGGCTGCATCAATTTTTTGTTTCTTCAGCCATGTACATATACATACTAATCGTTTATTATTTTAGGATTTAGAAGAAGCTTTGTTAACGGATGGTGGAACCGAGGGACGTTTAGTACAGGAGCTAATAGTCAGGTTACTTGAAGGTTGTTTACCAAATGACACGCGCAATGACATCTCAACCTTTAACTATCAGATGTTTCTTCGTAGACTTTTTAGAAAGAAATGTCAGGTAAATTGGTTCTTCTTTTTTATATATATAGTATACATATCATTAAAAGTAATACATGATTCATTTTGTTCTCAGGAATACAAATGTGAAAATCCTTTTAATACAGATGTAGATTTTGAGTTACTACCACTCCGTCAAAAAGTAGAAATTTTACGTGCTCTCTGCGACTTTCGGCTTGACGCTGAAGACGTGGTATGTATATAAAAAATGCCTGGGAAAGTATTTTTTATAAAAATTGTTACAAGTGTATTTATGCTTCGTAACTTTTAGGAGCAATCATTAGGTAATTTGGACTCGGATAGCCTGCGAGTCGAACCTTTAGGACATGATCGTAAGAATTCTGCCTATTGGTACTTTTACGGCACTCGATTATATAGGGAGGACTACATTGATACTTCTAACAGCATCTCGCACAAACAGAAAAGTAAGCCTAGGGATAAAAAGCGTAAAAGACGACGAAACAGAGTGGCGAAGGAGGAAGAGGAAGAGGAGGAGAAGAAGGAGGACAGTTTAATACACGGGAAAGCAAAAGAAAGTGTTTGGCAGGTTGTCTGCTTTACTCAGCAGGACTGGAGCCGTCTAGTTGAAAAATTTCGTGATTCGGTAATTGTCCTATTAAACGATATATTATTTTATTCCTTAGATTCTGCTAACGATGTTATTATAATACTTAGGAGTACGATACCGAACGTAAACTTTACCGTACTCTGTCCGAGGATTTCATGCCTGAAATCCCGAAACTTTTTGATTTAAAAGAAAAACAGCAAAGGCGCAAATTGTTACAACGTAATAGTTCGCGTGTACTTCGAAGTCACGAACCAACGACACAGATGGAAACAGTCATGGTTAGATCGAAGATCAAAACTAAAACAAACAAAGGGAGTAAAAAAGGGACTCAGAATTCAAAGAATGTTTATGTTAAAGAGGAGACACCTCCACCCTTACCTTCACCGCCGATTCAAAAAAAAGGACGGCAAACTAATAATTCGTTGGCTTCAGCTGTTGGTCAAATTGTGATTCACACTAGGGACGAAGTGGAGGGATTAGAAAAAAAGAAAGGCATTGGAAGTAATAGCGATGGAAATTATGTATCTTCTAATTACGGATATAAATACGGTTATTCATTTGGAATCGAAGAAGAAGAACGTCGTGTTGGAATGCACAAAGTCCTTGAAAGTCTCAAAGATCATGTGGATGCTTGGCCATTCATTGACCCTGTGGATGAAGAATATGCCCCAAGGTATAATATTAAAGTTCTATATATAATTTTAGGTATTTTCAAAATACAAAAGTCATTATTCTTGTTATTTATGTATGTATATTGTTTTTTAGGTACTATAGCGTGGTGCGAAAACCCATGGACCTTAGTACAATGGAGGAGAAACTTGAAAATGGTTTATACAAAAGTTTAAGTGAATTCAAACGTGATTTTCGACTTATAGTAGATAATTGTAGGCAATATAATGGCTCTGATAATGGTTAGTATTTTTTATTCTAAGATATACATATTTTATGATTAAATATTTTTTTCTATTACAGAGTACACAGAAATGGCATTTAACCTTAAGGAAGCATTTGACAAAGCAGTGGGACGTTACCTAGAATCGGAAACATCTAGCGACGAGGATCCTTCGTCACCGAAGTCGTTTCTTGCTACTCCCGCATCTCCGTCGTGTCCTTCTCGCATTTCGTCTCCTCATCAGAATAGAAAACGTTCGAAAAAATCTACGAAAAAATCGAAATCATATAAATCTGAAAGCAAAGGAAAATCTAAAGCGAATGATAAGAACGACGAAGAAGAAAAACGGGGCAAAAATTATAAACTTCCGAAGAAAAAAAGAGGTAAGAAGAAGAGTAAAAGAGCAAAGGACGAAGAATCAGTAAACGAAGAAGAACAAGAAGAGCAAGAAAGCGAGGATGCAATGTCTGAATCGAGTGTCATAACAGCAAAAAGAAGGAAACACGTTGACGAAAATAATTTATTGTTAAAAACCAAAAAGCTAACATCCAAAGAATCAGAGGAGTTTAAGAAGATAGATAAAAAAGTTAATAAAGAACGTCATCAACAAAAAAAGGAAGCGGAAAATGTGCGGCCGATGAAAGAATCGAAAGAGAATAAGAAGCGAAAAGAAGACTTCGAAGAAGATTATGAGCCCCTAGTCGTCGTAAAAAGTAAAAATAGGAAAATCGAGAAGAAGGAACTCGAGGAGACGGAAGTATTTACAGATAACGCGAAGAAGAACAAATTGAAGAAAACCGAATCTCACGAAAATGAACCATTACCGGAGAATAAAGAGAAAACGCAGCATATCAAAGTTAAGAAGAATCGAAAGAAGGAAAAGACGGGGTTAAAGGCTTTTAAATCTGACGAGAAGTCTGAAAAAAGCCGTATTAAGGATAAAGAGAAAAAATCAAAACAGAAAAACGATGAACTTAAAAACGGAGAGATATCAAGTGAAATAGATTCCAAAGATTTAGATTTAGAAAGCGATGTAGATTCAAAAGAAACACATACGTCTAAGAAAATTCCTGCATTTATAGATGATAAAGATATAGAATCGTTGGATGGTTTAAAAGATAAAATAAGCGAGAGGAGGCGAGAGGAGAAATTGAAAAATGAGAAGGAGAAACAGAAGAAAACTGGAAAAAACGACCTTCACAATATGTATTCAAAAAAAGTGCCTTCAAATGGTAGTACCTTTCATGACAGCGATAAATCCAGCGTAAAACGACCAAAGTTGAAAAAGGGAATAAAAGAAGAAAAAGTTCCTATCATGGAAGATCCTGTCAAGACTCAAGACCAAGAAGTCGCTGAGACTAAGAAAGTAAAATTAGCTCAGTCGAAACATACCAAAGGATTTGGAAAAGAAGAAAGCTCCATGCAAGCATTGAATCAGGCAACAGAACAGACGCTTCATGTAAGAATAGTTTATGTTTCACGTTTACATAATATAGATAGACGTAACTTAATATTTTTGTATATAACTGCACTTTATTTTTTTATCTCCGAATAGGATATCAACAAATGGTTAGATGACGCACCAAGACTCTCTGAATTTTCTTCAGGAAGTGATTCTCCAATATTTCATTCTTCGTCCGTCGAATCTGGCCGATCAGGTCCAAAAGTAGAAGCACCAAGGAAACGACCAAGTTCCATCAAAATCTTCGGTCCTCACGGACCTAGCAGGCCCAAAAAGATCCAACGTACGATAGATCGCTTACAACCTGGAAAAAGTAAGGGAAATTTGCTTCTAAAAAAACCATTGAACTTACCTAACGTTAATGCTGCTGAAATGACCATGCAATTGACCAGCGACAACGATCAAACAAACAAGAACACGGACGAAGAACCAAAACTTAGTTTAGGGACTGTTTTGAAAAATGTGGATTCCATACAGTTAATTTGTAAAAGTTTAGTTTCCTCGCCCAATCCCAATTTTTCTAACGACGATGAAGAAGAAGACCACAATACTCTTCCTGCAGTTCCGGTGTCTAGTCTTAGAGAAGAGAAAACATCCGGAATAACGACAACGCAAACACCTGCCATTGTAGAAGAGTCTAAAGATAATCAATCTGACGCGAAGGACACGCAGAAGCCCAAAACAGCAACACCAAATTTGAGTGCTTGGTTTAAAGCATTCGGAGCGCCAAAGTCGAAGAAGAAAGACGAAGAGTCGGAGGACGGTATAACGAAGAAGGATGGTGAATTGCAGGAAGTGTTTTGTGGTAGACAAAGAAGAATGAGTACCGGTGGCAGTAGTGTAAGTGAATCTGTTTCGAGTTTCTCCCAGGAGTCACCACCTGGACGTTCAGGTCGATCTCCGCAAGGTCAACCGATAATGGCTTCGGTCGAGCCACAGATTAGAGGAGCCGGATTCTATCAGGACGCTTTATCAACGGGAAGTAGCCCTTACAATAGTCCCTATTATGCTACACCTCCAAGATACAGCGCTCAATTACCCCCCACTCCATCCCCACAAAATCATCCGTTATCTCCAGCCTATCCATCATCATCGTACGAACAGGCGCCTCTTTATTCCCAGATACCGACCCAACAGTCGCATCAAACGTTTCAGAAATCACCTCAAGAAAATTCTGGGGAGATATATCATCAGTTATCACCCACATTTCCTCAGCGATCTCCTCAAACTAATTTTCCTCAGAATTCGACACAAAACGAGTCATATAATCAACCATTGCAATCTTCTAATCAGAGTCAATCTCCTGTTTATTCACAGCATTCACCACAACCCATACAACAGATATATCCTCAACCTTCTCCGCAGCCACCACCATCGAATTATTCTCAACCATCTCCTCAGCAACCATCTACTCCTAAATATTCACAACTATCTCCGCAACAAAATGCTGCCAATTATTCTCAGCCATCTCCGCAAGCTGCTAATTATTCTCAACCTTCGCCTCAGCAACCGCATTCTCCTTACTCTCAGGCCTCTCCCCAAGCACCGCCAAATTATTCTCAACCATCTCCACAACAACAACCTTCTCCATATGCACAATCTCCACAGCAGTCGTCTGGATACTCCCAGATGTCTCCTCAACCACCACCATCAAATTATTCTCAACAATCGCCACAACCACCTTCCAATTACTCTCAACAATCGCCACAACCACCTTCCAATTATTCTCAGCCATCACCACAACCACCATCCAATTATTCTCAAGCATCACCTCAACCACCTTCCAATTATTCTCAACCATCGCCACAGCCACCTTCCAATTATTCTCAGCCATCGCCACAGCCACCTTCCAATTATTCTCAGCCATCGCCACAGCCACCTTCCAATTATTCTCAGCCATCGCCACAGCCACCTTCCAATTATTCTCAGCCATCGCCACAGCCACCTTCCAATTATTCTCAGCCATCGCCACAGCCACCTTCCAATTATTCTCAGCCATCGCCACAGCCACCTTCCAATTATTCTCAGCCATCGCCACAGCCACCTTCCAATTATTCTCAGCCATCGCCACAGCCACCTTCCAATTATTCTCAGCCATCGCCACAGCCACCTTCCAATTATTCTCAGCCATCGCCACAGCCACCTTCCAATTATTCTCAGCCATCGCCACAGCCACCTTCCAATTATTCTCAGCCATCGCCACAGCCACCTTCCAATTATTCTCAGCCATCGCCACAGCCACCTTCCAATTATTCTCAGCCATCGCCACAGCCACCTTCCAATTATTCTCAGCCATCGCCACAGCCACCTTCCAATTATTCTCAGCCATCGCCACAGCCACCTTCCAGTTATTCTCAACCATCGCCACAGCCACCTTCCAATTATTCTCAGCCATCGCCACAGCCACCTTCCAATTATTCTCAACCATCGCCACAGCCACCTTCCAATTATTCCCAGCCATCGCCTCAACCTCCTCCAGTGTATTCTCAACAGTCTCAATCTTCAAATTTCTCACATCCATCACCTCAGACACATTCTGCCAGCTACACGCAATCTTCACCTCAACCTCTCACAACAGGTTACTCCCAGCCATCGCCTCAACCTCGAAACTATTCTCAACCTTCGCCTCAACAAATCCAAACTTTTCCTCAACATTCCCCACAAGCACCGCCTTCATACTCTCAACCTTCTCCTCAGAATGCAGCATATTCACAGCCTCAACAATCGCCTCAGCAACCAGTTAAGTATTCTCAGCCTTCTCCTCAACAACCTGCCAATTACTCACACTCGATACACTCGCCTCAAACGCCACAAAATTATTCGCAGTTGTCTCCTCAGCAACCTCCGCCAAGCAACTACTCTCAGCCTTCACCATCGCCTCAGCAATCCCGAAACTACTCTCAAACGTCTCCATCGCCTCAGCAGTCCCGTAACTATTCCCAACCATCACCATCTCCTCAACAATCACATACTTACACTCAACCAGCGCCATCGCCTCAGCAAACCCGCAATTACTCTCAACCGTCACCCCAGCAAAAGTCCGCATGCACATCACAGGCGTCGCAATCTTCGCAACAGCCTTCGAATTACTCGCAACCGTCTCCACAACAAAGTACAAACTACAGTCTACAGCAACCACAACCACAATCACAAAAGAGCGCAGAAGATTATCCACAAGCTGCGTCGACGCCTTCAAATTATTCTCACGGATATAAACAGAACCATTCGTATATTCAGTCTTCAGTATCGTCAACATTAAACGAAACAGAACACCGGACTGATTACTTGAAATCTAGTACTACAGAGAAGTCTTCGAGCACGGAGCAGCAGAGGAATTTTGCTGTACCACCGGAGGCTGCATCGTTAAACCTAAATGCGAATCATCAGATTTATCAGTCACCAAACCAGTACCCACCAACGTTTGGCAATAACTATCCTAATATCGACCTCCAGAGGTCTGTTTCGAGGCACGGCGGTCAGGAACAGTCACAACAACAGCAACAAACGTCCCAGGAGCGGCCTAGTTTCACCGACCTTAGCAATTCTCTGAACGCTCAGAAGTACGCTCAACAGCGGTCGTTCCTTGGTAAAACGTCGAGTACCAGCGAACAGCTCTCAACGCAAGATCAGTCGCAAATCCTAGCATTCCAACAAAATCTGACGACTCATGAATCTCTTTATCCTAGTGGTTTCCAATCGTCTGGTTATCCGATGCCAAATTCTAGACCCGTGTATCCAAGTCCACATTACTTCGATGCCAGTTCAAAGGCTGCGACTAACAGCGGACCGGTGAATAGCTCGACCAGTAATTTGCCTCCAGTGAAGAAACGAATTTACAATGAATCGTCTACAGAGGCGTCTCGCGGTTTGACGCAGGAAACGGCAGCGAGAACGGGCCAGGAACAATTTAGCTTCGACCCCATAATGGCATTGCCGCAACCTGAAGCAGTTTCAGCTAGTCAATTCGACACTGCGTTTGTCGGCAACCTAGCCGATTCCGTAGCGACGAATCCAGCGTATGCACGTCTAGGCCTAGGTTTGGTCAGCCGTACTGGTAAAGAACAACAACAGTTGTTGACCATTCCTCGACCACCACAGACGAAGCCAGAACACCTGGCGTACGCCCGTAGTCCAGCATCCGGCGCAGCGGAAATAGATCTGAACTTGCTTCAAAGTTTGCAGACGGCAGCAGCGAAGAATACACAGGGTATTCTGTCAATGTCGTCGTCTCGCAGAGGTGGAGAAGCGTCTAGTAGTTCTACGTCGACACCTGTGAAAACGAAAAAGAGCAGAAAGAGCAAACAGCAACAGCAAGAGCAACAAAACGTAACAAGCGTCTCGTCGGCGGTTAGCACGGAACCACAATCTGGTACAGGTATACCTGGTTTTCCACAATACACGGGAACATCAGCTGACTCGATTGGTCTAAAGAATACCACGATGGTTCCACCAGCTGGGAGTGCCTTTAATTTCGCTGCGTCAACCAGTACCACGACCAGTTCACCTTTCTACGATAAAGACGCATCAGCTGCAGCGGCTGCGTTCGCATTTTTGGATGAATTTCGGAATCCAAATAGTTACTATAGCATGGCGCTCAGGCAACAGCAGCAACAACAACAACAGCAAGTTCCGCCAGTTACGGACGCCACGCAACAAGCCTGTAACAAGCTTAGCAATCAACCGCCGAGAAATTATCCGCCTCACCCTTTCCTTCATTCCGCTCAGAGATCAGCAGCTTACGGGCCTCCTGTGTCTGCTTATGTAACGCCTCATGGGCCAAACTTAACGATGGATCCGACCGCTTATCAACAGTACATTCATTCCCTGTACGCGCTTCAACCGCCGCCCCATCATCATCGACCGTCCTGGCTTTAGCCGTTAAAATCTTTGTAATGGGCGTTTTGGAATGATTGTATGTGACATTTCGGTGGATATACCGTCCCCATCGAGAAGCTGGAGGAAATGATATTTCGAATATGTTATCTGTTGATAGCAGTGGCAGTAGATTTCTGTTTTACCGAACAAGTTGCGTTAGTGTTTTATTCACCATTCGGGTGAAATGCGATAAAAAATTTTATCGCGATTGTAAATATTGTTTCGTCTAACTTTATCTCGCTCTTCAATCGTAATCAAGACTTTCTTCTTTCTAGGGAAAAGGAAACGGTATCGATATTTTTCCCCTTTAATCCATGTGACTAGGCATGAAGTCCTTGTGTATTATAGAATGATAATGACCTTCCTAATTTTTTTCTTTTTCTTTTTTGATGAAGCAATTTATTTATTTTTCGTTTATACACGTATAATTCAGAATGACTTCTTTTATTTTCATTAACAACCTTTTTATTTTTTTTTTTTTTTTAAGAAAAATCTCGGTACTGTGATAAGGGTGGAAGGCTGTACTGATTACTATATCCCTTGAGATTGTCGATGCACTACAGACTCGTGAAAGGTCAAACAGTAAAAAAGAATGCGGTGCAAGATTTTCGATCATTTATTTTTTCTGATCTCTCTCTTCTTTCTCCTTTTTTTCTTTTATAAATATTATTTTACTGATTGACTAGCGAATAACGGGTTTTTAAAAGCTCTCTGCGAGATCAGGATGTGTGGTCTTTCCACCGGCTTGTCTTTCCCATTCGCGTTTGTTTCCTTTTTTATTAAAAACCATACGGATCTTTGAAATTTTTACACGATATATCAGAACGAAAATAGTTTACCTTTACAAGGGTATCCTATTATGTAGTCATATGTACATAAAGAATAAGCCTACTTATTGTAGGAATTTTTGATAGTTTTTTTTCTAATAACTAGTCGACAGCTTAGACGTAAGTTGAGTCGCTAGTAGCTGGAAGTAACCTTCTATCAAAAGTTCCTCTTATCTATCGCGCTCTCGATGGCGTCTCGTTTTGTTTCTTAATCTATATTGAGATACGGATTATGCAATATTCGTTTTTTTTTAACGTAAAAAAAAAAGAAAAATGATGGCCCATTTCATAAGTGTGCTCGTAATTGTCTTGCCTGTGGAAAATACATTGTTCCCTCTCTTTTGTGTTCAAACAAATAAAAAATAAGAAAAAATTTACTAGACATGCAAGAAACATATAGAGAGAGTATACGTGACGTCTGATTTTCAAAAGATTTCTGTATGATATCGAGCGCACTGTTGCTGGCGTATCTTGTGTAGAGTATATAGATTCATTAGTATGTAAGCTAGAACATTTGTTTCTTTGTATATAAAATACATATCTCCTTCATAGACGATGTGCTCGATGTAAAGAAAGATTTACAAAGTCAATGACCTTGTAGAATCGTCTGCGGTAGATTAAAAAGAAGATGAATAAAAACACAATGGGAAATTGTAGGGACATAGACAAGGATGAAAGATGTATGTACATCGTGTGTATGTGTGAGCGGACATGAGTGTGCGTCGTATTTCATGGTCGAGGACGAAATAAAGTGTAATACGCCGCAATCATACATTAACCCACCTTATTGCTAAAAAACAGAAGGAAGCGGAATATTAAAAACTTATAAATATATACATATATATATATATATATATATTGTAAATGTATATTGTAAATGTATCTGATGACAGATTAAAGCACAGTTTGTTACAAATTTGTCTTAATTATGTTTTTATGTAGGTTTGTATATTATACATATAATGAAACATAATAGCGCAAATGATGATTCAAAAACCTCTAGAAATCGAAATAAAACTTACTTCTATTCGAATTATTTGCCACATGTCCAGATGCATTATATCATCAATATTATCCAGTATGCTATATTGAGTTATCTTTTTATTGAGTTATTGTATCTTTTCATACATTTCTATTAAATAATCTTAGTTAGATACTGTTAGATACTAAAACGAATTAAGGACAAATTGCTGATTCAAAATTCATTAACAAAATAAATTTCTTTTTTCATTTTGAGACAATACCCAGGAAATTTTGAATCGTATATGGATGTTCTTCTTTATTTTATTCACTAAATATAGTCTCATAATTACTTATTACAGTCTTTACAGAATTTATTCGAATGACATACTTAGGCAAAAAATAAAATACTATAATGTGTATTCTTGTAGCATTGTACAATTCGATAATATTCTATATCGGATACGTGTTACATTATTATTGAAACTTATAATTTAAAAAATTGTGGATTACGATATGCAATATCTTTTATCAAATAAAAATATATAGTTACATAATTGTAACTATATATTGTGTCATATCTTTTAATCGATTATGTATAGTGTACTAATAACAATTGATTTGAAATTGTTTAAATTGTAGTCGTTCTTATTACCAAGTTAACAAGTTTTGAAGATAACTAGTCTTCATTTTGAAATAAGCTCGACGCAATAATAGTCTCATGTGATTAATTCATGCTATAACACGTCGAAATCTACGATAAATTATAGAAACATTTATACAAATATTTAAACACACAATTATAGAAAATGATGTTAAGGAAAAGTTAATTGCGACTAGAGAGGACATTTTTTACAACCATAACGTACCAAGTTGGTAACAATAAGATTGTAATTATAGAAAAATCTTCCAAAAATATACAGATAATGAAACATAATAGCGCTCGAGGAATGCAAATATGATATCCACGAGTTCCACCTCCTGATATCTACATTTCATGATTTTGATAACAAAAATTGCACATGCAGCAAATGAGATTTACGTTTTCATAAAATGGCGATATGTTACAGGGCAAAGTGCACTTGTAGAAAAATCTAGACTGGTTTTAAAATAATATGAAAAGTCGTTATAGTAAACTATTACGTGGAGTTAAAATTTAGTATCAGTGTATGTTTCATTATTAACAGACATATTTTTCAATAGTTATGCTAATATCTTAACTTTAAAAACATTCTTGTGAAATTTCTCAGATTTCTGAATTAAACATTTGAATTAAGACAAAGTTGATAAAACCTGATGAACTTGGCATTAATTAATATCAATACATGTGTTATAATGTTGATGAATTAAAATAATTTTTTTAAATTGTTTGCAGATTGTAATTTCTATTTTTAATTTATTGCATGGCGTAAGTACTTCCAAAATGATGGAAAGCATAAATAAGGAATTGTTTCCAATAAAGACACATTATTTTTTATTCAATGCGGGTAAATAGATTATATTACAGATTAAATATCACATCTTATAGAATATTATGTATAATTGCATTTTTTATTTTTCAGCTACTGGACCAATAGTACCATTCTTACCAACAATAGCAAAACAGTTAGGCTTTTCTCCTTTCTTAACTGGCACAATATACACGATATTACCAATTTCTGGTTTAGTAGCAAAACCTTTATTTGGAGCATTAGCTGACAAATTCAAAATTCATAAGATAGTGTTTTTAATATTTCAAGTTGTAGTTGCGATAGCCTTGTTTTCGATATATTTTATACCTGAAATAGACAATAGTGCAAATGTTGAACTTACTTGTAATAAAATAGCAACTATAGAGATGTGTTCAAAAAATGGATTTCCTGATAAAATTAAAAATGATGCGATAACAGAGATCATTCACTTAAATGTATCATGTCAGGTGTGATGTCCTTTTATCTTATTTTTCTACTATATTAGATTTTATTTATATTTTTAATTATATGTTTAATTTATATTTTATGTGTTTTATTTTTAGATATCGTGCAAAGCCTCGAAAGAACTTTATCATGAAATGTGCTCAAATTGGAAAGTACCTCAATTCTGTGACTTAACAAATTCAAGTTCTATTTTAAATAATGACACATTTAATTCTACCGTAACATTTGACATATTTCATGACTTTTATGTAAGATATTTTGCACATTTCCTATATTTAAAGATAAACAGCTAAACTCTTTATTTTACAGCTAAAAAGATGCATGTATGTGCGTATTTTTACTGCCAAATTCTCAGATAATGTACCATATACACCATTTTGTGGCAATTATGTAAAAACATCGTGCCTAGCTACATGTCATGATAATCCAACCTTTAATCAATTGTTGCATGAAGTTGATGTGCCTCAGAATTCCACAGAAAATTCAACATACCAGTTTCATTCATTTCTGTGGGCAACTATAATAAGTTGGATTGGAATGGCAGTTGTAGTTAGCATAGCTGATGCTATATGCTTTAATCTCCTTGGTTAGTACTATATATGTTAATTAAATATCTAGTATGCTTTTCATACTGATATGTTACAGGAAATGAGAGAAGAAAGGAATATGGAAAACAAAAGATGTGGGGCAGCATTGGTTTTGGCATATTTGGAATAAGTGCAGGATATTTGGTAGACTTATTTAGTGAAGGAAAGGTTCAGAAAGATTATACTTGTATATTTTATATCATGTTGGTCATTATGATTTTTGATATTATTACGTCTGCAACTTTAAGGAAGGTAAAATTCTTTTACCATATATAATATTATGAGTAGAGAAAAATGTAGATAGTACAGAAGTTTGATACTTCTTACTTATCAAAAGAATAAAAAAATTGCCAGGTAATGGGAGAAAGCAGTATCATTACAGAAAAATCCAGAACACTCTGAGGATGAACCTTCAATATTATGGGAACTATTCACTATCCTTCGGGAGGGTAATGTGTTGTCATTTGGATGGTGGTGCATAGGTGCTGGAATGTGTACTAGCGTAGTGTGGAATTTTCTATTTTGGTATATTGAAGACCTAGCAAGTAGTTCACAAATAACACGGCTGAAAACTTTACAAGGGCTTTTGACTGGTGTACAGTGTTTTCTAGGAGAACTACCATTTAATTTTATCTCAGGAAATGTTTTGCGAAAATTAGGTCACATGAATGTTATGAGTTTAGTATTATTGATATATGCAATTAGGTAAGTAATGAAATTTCTTGTAAATATATAATGTAGCTTCATATTACTAATTGTACTATTTTTTCAGGTTTATGGCATACAGTACTATATCAAACCCATGGTGGTTTTTAGTTATTGAAATACTTCATGGACCTACCTTAGGTCTTTGTTGGCCAACAATGGTATCATATGGTGATAAGGTAACACCACCTGGTACTAAAGCTACTATACAAGGATTTATTGGTGCTATATTCGAAGGAATTGGTTAGTAGTAGGAAATTAATTATAAAAACTAATGACTTTAAATAATTATTTTTTGTATGGTTATAATTATTTTTCAGGAGTATCAAGTGGCAGTTTAATATGTGGGTGGTTAATGAACACATATGGCGGTGTTATAGCGTTAAGAACATTTTCGGTAGGAGCGTTATTGTGGCTATCTTGCTTCTGGTTGATTCAATTGTTTTTACGAAAATTTAAAACATCGGCAGTACATTTGGGTCATAATCGTGAGTAACGATTATGTGGATACATAAATAACACTGATAAAAATAATTTTAAATACTTAAGAAATTTGTTTCAATTGAAGAAAAATATCTTTTCTTTGTTGATCTTTTCCAGATTTGGTAAATTACGCTAATCCAGATGATGCCATTTTTATGTCCATGAGTCGCGAATTAGAAACTTATTAATAAAAGGCAAACGACAGTGTTCTTTTTAGAAATTCGGTATATTCATTGTTTGTTTATTTAGATATGATGATTTCGATTGAACGTAGTAAAAAATATACTTTTCTTATAATTATCAGACAGTTTAATTCTTAACACATTCGTGACTCATCTTTTTAGACAAATATTGATTATTCAGTATTATACTGTAGTTGTAAATCATATCATGTTCTGTAATATATTCATTTTTCTTAGACTGAAGTAACATTTTTTTTTTAAATCCACCGATAAAATTTATAAATAAAAATGATAAATAGAACATGTATCATCATATATATCAAACAGATATTGAAGGGAAGTAATACAAGGATGTGTTTAGTTGAGACATATAAAATTGCTCACAAAATATCTCAACCATTTATTCATTGCGAATTCATTTCTTCAGAGTGAAATTATATCATGCTAGTAATTTTATTAATTACCAGTATATTTTCAATTATTTATCGAAATCACGCGATAATAATATTTTTATGAATTCCGCATAATATGTCGATAAAAAGCTATAAATAACTTTCTTCTGATTCAATACCACGTCATTGGATAACAGTTGCACGCGTGCAGAACGGAATAGCTGCATACGAAAAGACTCGGTGGTCAAATTTGCGTAGCGTTAGTCTTGTTTAGGATTCCGTCTTTGCTGATTTTGACGAGATGGTGAAGTAGCCTGGCTTGGCACAGGTTCGACGATAGCTTGAAGATTAGGAATTTCGCCTGCGGTATCACAGCAGTCATTCATTATAATTCCAGTACCTGAATGAATAAAGGCAAGACTTCCCTCACTGGAAGAGGCTAAACTAGCCGACAATGGAGGTGATCTTTCTTTAGGCGATGCTGAAGAAGCTAAATTGTTTACAGTAGTATTACTACAAGTTGCTGCTTCTAATGTTCCATGAAGTTCAAGTATACGGCCTTCGAGAAGAAGGTTTATTTCAGCTTGTGCTTTATATTTTGACTCGACGGCTTCCAATTCAGCTTCGTGTTGATCTTTTGTTTCTTGTAAAAGCCGTTGCAGTTCTACAAGTTGCGCTTCTTTTCGTGCTT